CTCCGCGCAGCCTCCGCGCCGCCTCCGTGCCGCCCCTGCGCTGCTCCCGCGCCGCCCCCTTACGATGTATTAACTCGGAGTCGAGTGATAACGGGCGTTTCAGCTAGTCAATGAAGTCTTGGCCGCTGTTGGAGATGTCGCTGTCGCCGACATGTCAGTCATTACACTCCGTTCTTCAGGGCGAATGCATGCAAGTCGGGCTGTGAAGAAGGTCGTATTTTGACTTATGAAACGTTGGCAACTATACGTACAACGAACCGCCTCCCAGGCAACTCAGATTTGAACCCAATGTCGATCTGAGCCACCGGCTTACCGCACATTCGCCCTTCTGTTCTGACCTTACCCCCTTCCTGCATCACCCCTGCGGCATCTCTCGCCGTACCTGCCGTCCTCTTCCTCCCACATTGCCCTCGCAACGCTTTTGTGCTGACCCCAGGCCGCCCCCGCGCTGACCCTGCGCTTCTCCCCCTTCGCTCCACTTCCACGCCATTCTTATGCCGCCTCCGCACTGCCCCTAATAATTCAAGACGTGCGCGACTTGAATACACAAGTAGGATAATTAAAGTTTATATGCTTTCCAAGAACATTTTATGATACAGGAATACTCCTTGTCATAAAAATTGCCTCACCCCGAATGAATTTTTTATTTTGTGTTACGCATACACTTTCATGGATATATTTTTTGGCAGTTTTATTTGCGCACATTACATCTCTGTTGCGAGAGACATTAATTACTCCACAGGTATAATGCAGAGTGGACTTTTAAAAAGAAATGTGGGAGTTTCAATTAAGTTTTCTGTTAATATTGCGATTTAAGTTTCATTGCGTAAGACTCAATAATTGAACGATCTTCCACGTGTTAACAGAAGACTGTACAACTCCAGTTTTGTCCGGACCGGCACTTTATCCTTGATAATTTCGAAGCTGTGACGGACTGAATGTACTCTGTTTTAAAATTTGTAGATAACGTATTCCTGCGTTTCAAATATCATTTCGTGATAGTTGTTTTCTAAATTAATATCTTTATTTTTAACTGATGAATCCGTCAAACGTTTCCTGATGTCACAAAATGTCACTGCTCCTGGAGACCAAACATTGAGACAAAATTACACAAGACGGAATCAAACTTCTCTTGAGTCACCAAGACTACTCTTTCGTCGGCAGACCAGAGGCACGTTTCCCATCCCCACACTCACCCCAGGCAGACCTCTCGAGTCAACAGGGCTTCAGTTGACGAGGTGCTACAGGCCGGCTAATGGGAGGTTTGCAGCGTGTGCAAGAAGATGGTGTAACAATGCTCGTCTCCCGGCAGAGCCGCTAATAAGCACTCGGGGCCCGCGTACCGCGTCGGGGGCCCTGAGTGAAAAGAAATTTTAAAAGTTGCCTCTCCGGGTACGCAATTACGCTCTAATTGTACTTTGTAGTGCAAATTTTGGGACATTGTTCCCTGGCGGCGAATGTAGAAACTGGTGTTGCTACCACAGGTTATACTTTTATGTATTGTTTATAATGGTTACGTAATATTATAATTGTACTACTTGAACTAGTAACAATAGTTGTCCGCACTTGAATTTGAGCTCAGGCACATATGTTCTGCGGGCAAACGAGTTCTCCACTACACCATCCGGCTGTTCGCGTGTGGACAACGCTCCCGACGCATCAAAAATGAAGTTGAAGTTTTGCCATTAACGAATCTTCCGAGGCTTTAACAAGTTTTCCCTCTGCTGTATTATTGAAATAACATTTCTATTCAATTAAAAATTAAAACTATTCGAGAAAAACATCCTATTCGAGAAAACTATTCGAGACATTTTTCAGGAAATTTCGCAAATGTCACAGAGGCTTCATGTAAAGTACTTGAGATATTACGAACTGTCCCAACCAGAACAAGCTCTGAACTCGTGACTGGTCTCCGTAGATTTGTGGTAGTGGCGGGCGTGTATGTGAACTTGTTGGGGGAGAGGAGGGGAAAAGTAAGGGAAAAGGATGAGGTTCGAAAGATCACGCGCGGTCGTTGGGTCGTTTGTGAAGGTAATACTCCGGCATTCAAACTGGTGTTGGCCGACGGAAGCGCGTAAAACTTCCAAAGAGAGCAACCGGCCGCTACAGTTCTCCTCCGGACAGTGGTTAGTTCGACAGAGCTATGTAGCTAGTTTCGAAAATTAGCAACCGTCGCGATTCTAACCCTAAGTCCTTCCGGTCAACAATAATGCTGGGGCAACGGTCAATGATGATGCCGCCGACCTATCATAACAGGTTGAAGGAGCATCTTATCACTGCAGATAGACGGGAGATTCTAGTTTCTCAAATCGGTGGAGGCTGGTACTCGACCGTAAATAATCGAGCCAAAAGTCATCTATTCCTTTTTTACAGTTCTAGAGACTAGCTCTGCTCGGAAGAGATTTGCTCTGCTCGGTAGAGATTTGATCTGCTCGGTAGAGATTTGCTCTGCTCGGTAGAGATTTGCTCTGCTCGGAAGTTTGTGTTTCATTCGTACAATAATAGCCGAAGAAATATCTTGAAAAGAAGGCAGCGGACCGCAAGCAATCCTTCCCTTTCCCCAACTTTTAGAGAGAGAAACATATTAAGCGGTCGGTTTTGTCATGTGACTGATAATAATATTCGGTCCTGCACGAAAACGGTGAAGTTCCTCACACCGCACGAGAACATTTTTGACACACATTTTTGATACCTAAATCGATATCCGTCGCTGTCGAGAGGAGAATTCTAGCCACCGGCTGCTCTGATTGGCAGTTTTTCGTGGTTTGTCCGATCAAAACCAGGCAAATGCCGGAGCAGTACCCTAACAGATGGGCCACGGACCGCGAGCGATCTTTCTTTCCCCTTCCTTGCCTAGCCTCACTTACACACAGTTACACTAGCATGCACTACACTACCACACATGACGGAAACCAGTCGCGAAATTAGAGCTGGTCCCCGCTAGAGTGGTGGCCCTCTGTCAAGTGGTACCTTATTGGGGAAACCCCAAGAAGCCGACATGAAGGTCTGCACCTGTCCAATTACTGGAGGAAGATCACCGCCACCTCACACGATAAAATCGTGCACTACACTTGCGGGAGTAATGACCTTACGAGTTGATGTGCCCGGGAAAACTAATCAATCAATCAATCCAAAATCATTATTGGACCTTTGTAAAACTGGGTGATGAAGAGAAACTTCTGGGCGAGTTTTTTTTCTTTCTTTAAATTTGTTGCGTCTTCGCAACAAGTCACTTAACCCTTCTTGTGCAGTGAGCGTAACTGGAGTAATCCTCCTTGAAATTTTTGTGTTTTTGTCTCGTCACGTCGTAGTTAGTGCCTTTTATCCTCTCGGCCAGGGGTTCGGCACAATTAGTAAGCGGGGTTCCCAGACAGTCACTTGTCTATCTGTGGTGTTTCGAGTTGCTTGACTTCCGCGACTTCCCGGAGCGCAGATGAGCAATTCGGCCAACAACGCCGGCTGAAGTCTCAGCTTGTAAGTCCGCCTTGCCCTGCCCTGCGCAGACGGAGCGGCGCGAGCAGCACCTGGCCGCCGGCAAGTTCACGCCGCTGCAGCTGCCCGAGGGCGCGGCGCGCGACGCGGCCGCGCTGCTCGACTTCCCGCGCCACCGCCTGCGCCTGCTGGAGAAGCTGGGCGACGGCCTCTTCGGCCTGGTGCACCTGTGCGAGGTGGAGGGCGCGGCCGAGTACCCGGGCGCGGGCGCCGCAGGCGCGCCGGCCCCCTGCCAGCGCAAGCAGCTGCTCGTCGTCAAGTCCCTGCGGCGCGGCTGCAGCGAGGCCACGCGGTGAGTGGCCGGGTGGGCCGCCCCGCCTCGCACTGGCTCCGCCAAGGGTCGACCTGTCAAGTTGTTCCTTCAAGCGTCGGGTATTTTCCTAGTTAAATGTAATGTTCCGCAAGGACACGAGCTGGAAGACGAAGGGGATGCCGTCATCCAATCAAGCTTAAGTAGCTCGTTACGAATTTCATTTTTGGTATTGAAGCCGGATGCCAATGTCTCCCTCTCCTTCCAGCTCGTGACTTTGAGGATGCACTATATTTAAATTCGACAATATCTAAGTACTGCCCTGCCCGTCTGTCTCTCGCTTCGTTCCACCCTGCATTGACCCGCTTCCTTCTTGCTTCTCATACTATCTCGCCCAATGACATACTAAGTGTATTTCAACATCTTTGATTTCGCGTCGCACTGTCCCGTCCCTACTGAACTGTCCCATCCTCGCCACACTGTTTCTTCTTCCTTGCCCTGCCTCGTCCCTAGCGCCCCGCCCCATCCACGCCGCACGCCTCTGTCCGCGCCGCACGGCCCCGTCCTCACCGGTCTGTTCTGTCCCCGCAACATCCCGTTTGCACCACTGTGTCCCGTTCCCACCGCACTGTCCCGTTCCGACCGCACTGTCCCATCCCCGCCGCACTGTCCCATCCCCGCCGCACTGTCCCATTCTCGCCGGATTGTTCCGTTTCCGGAGTTTTTCATCAGTGTGCTGTCTTGACAGGTTTCTTTCTGTTACTGTTAAGTTTTACTTCAACTCGTATGCATTAAATAAGAGCGTTCGGAAAACTCCGAGAGCCGTTGCGAACTCGTCGCCTGCCGAAAGTGACTTGAGCTCCGTGCGCAGGCAAGAGTTCCTGCGCGAGGCGGGCTGGCTGGCGAGCCTCCGAGACCCCAACGTGGCGCGCGTGCTCGCGGTGTGCGCGGCCGAGGAGCCCCTCTGCGTGCTGCAGGAGACGGCTGAGCTGGGGGACCTGCCGCGCTTCCTCCAGATGCAAAGCGCGGCGGCGGCCGCCGACGGCACCGCGGGCCTCAGGTGGGTTGCCGCACTTCTCCGAAGTTATCAACACAGTTGTTCGGATTAATGTATTTACAAGTACACGTGCTTGTGCTTTAATGCCATATTAAGTTTCTCGAAAACTCAACCGTTTTCTGTGAAAACTAGCTCAAAGTTCCGCATTTTCAGAAACGCTCAAACGCCATTTTCTCAAAAACGGCTTCAAATGTTTTCTTCAACACTTTTCGAGCGGGTAGTGATAATTGCACTTTTTAATATGACGTTAAGTTGATTTTAGGTGTTTTTTTTTCTTTTTCAAAAATTACACCAATGTAATTTTTTTTGAAAGATCTCTCACGCCGTTAATATGCTCATTTACAGCAATTTGTAAACACTACTGTATTGGGGAGTTAACGTGCTTCAAATGTCTTCTAATGAAATTTTTCGAAAACTCAAAAATTTTCTGTGAAAGTGAGTTTTTATTTTTGAATTTACAGTAGCGCTTAAACGACATTTTCTTAAAAACGCCTCCATATTCTTCGAAGGAAATTGCCATGCAGGACGAGGTTTTACTGGTTTTTTAATGTTTTAATGTTCTTAAAATTATATTTCAATTCCACTCTTAGGAAACCGATATTTTAAAAAAATGTTCATTGGGCGATAGATGGCAGCTGGGAAGAATTTATGGCAAGTCCAAATAGCTAACCGACAGCAAAGGAAATAGAAAACATACGGGAAAGTCTGTACCATTCTGTTGCACCACTAGTTTTCTGTAAGTGGCGACTCTGTTCTCTATCAAGGGGAACAGTTAAAGGGGGGACAGAAACTGTATTCTCTTTCTATAATTCAGATATCGGAAATGCAGGAAATTCTTTTATTATCATCATCATCATCATCATCATCATCTTGATTGGCCACTTTGGACCACTTGAGTCGTTCCACTTCACTTTTTACTGTTCATGGTCGACTGTCGAAGATTTTTCACCTTGAGGTGAGGATAAATCCTCGAGTTACAATTCTGAATGTTATTCAGAAAGGTGATAATGAGAGATGGAGGATGATGGATGATAGGAGGTGAAAGGACGACCATGCCCGAGGCGGGACTCGAACCCGCGATCTTTCGGTACGAGATCGCTACGACACTACTGCCTTAGCGATCTCGGCCACCGGATCGGCTAGGAAATTTTCATTACAAACATTAATTTCACAAAAAACAAGAAAACTATATGAGCGTGAATATGGTATGCTTCAAGATTGGTGTGTAAAAAAAAAGGTAAAAAATAATAATTCCACTCTGGAAAAACATACAATGGCTTATATCCCTGGTAATGCTGAGAATCAAAGGGCGAGTTGTATTTGGACTCATTAATCAGTGTTAAAGGAGCACAATTTCATTGAATGACAATGTTGATGTAGTAGTACACAGCAGATATAGTAAAGACATGTCACTTTTTAGTAAAGAGAGATAATGAGATTTATTTAATAGTAGTGATGTTAATAATTGAAATTTTTAGAGCTTGCTGTAGAGAAGAAGTAAAGAATATAAAAATAATTGAAATAGAGGACAGAATTACCGTTCACATATCCCACTACTTTATTAGTATCTTAAACTGAATAAAATATCATAAATATTGAGTTTACATAACCAATGTGGGCAAGTTACACTTAGTTACAGGTAGGTGTATACTTCTAACTGCAAGTTTCAATACTTCTGAGTTTTATGAAAATGGCTTAATGGAGTTTTTAACTCAATTGCTCATGATCCATTGACAAGATACCTTAATTTCTTTATGTGCTCCAAATGCAGCTCATCCTTTTCCATTCCGTCTTCCAAATATTGTATAAAGATTTTTGCTGTTTTTAAAATTTAAAAAATTGCTATGTAACACGCAATTGTAACAGATGTCTTTTAGCATTTCTTATAGTGAATATTAAATTCAAAATCAAATGTTTCTCACACTTCTATGACTTGTTCACAACTTTTAAGGAAAGAAGAATACAGGTGTAGGGATAATACTAATTTAAAATAACAGGAACTTTCTTGGTTCTTACCTGGAAATAAAAATTAACATTTGTAATCCGAAAGTGTCCACAAAATATTTACTAAAATAAATATTGTAATCCTTTCCATTATTTTATATCTTGGTGTAGTCATTGGTTTCTCTACAAAGATGCAAGTTGCAAAGAATTTGACATTAATCAATACAATACAATCCGATTAAGAGTCAAACTATTTTTTTTTAATTATTTGAGAGTTATCTATGAACTTGTTTGATTATATTTTGGTATTATGTATATTTTGTCATAAATACAGAGAAAATTACATTGTTTTGTACAATTTTACAAATAACTTATGCAGTAACATCAGCAATAAATTTGCATTAAAAGTAGTAGGCTTAATTTGATTCATCTGATAGATGTTTATAGAATGGTTAATCAATGTTCTTTAAAAAAATTATCAACAAGAAATATAATTGATATTAATCCCCCAAAATTAACTAGTATTTTATTTCTCAGTTATGGCTGCCTCATCTACTTGGCTACTCAAGTGGCATCTGGTATGAAGTACCTGGAATCAATGGATCTGGTGCACCGCGATCTGGCAGCAAGGTGATTTTATATTTATTCTTTTAAGGCTCTTTCACTAGACTCACTTAAATCTTTTAGGGGTGTTTATTTTCAAATCAAATTTTGGAAGGGAATTAGTAAAAATAAGATGCTGCTGAGGTAATGAATGACTTTTACAGCAAAGAAGTATGTTAATGTATACAATGTAGACAATTCAGGACTCTTTGAACCTTTCTCATACTGTTAATGGGAGACGGAAAAAAACTTTACCAAGTGAGCCAGAACAAATTTTTACAGTTCCGAGAAATATTGCTCTACCTTTGAATTATACTTATTCATGATCCTGAATATCTTATTAAAATAATTTTATATCATACCTCCTTGAATCTGTATACATTTTTCAAGCTTACAAGATTTGTTTGATAATTTTGAAGTAAAATTATCCTAAAATATCAATTAGGAATATCTTCTCTAATTAAATACAAGACAATTTATATCCTGTTTGATGATGCATATCATTCAAGATGTATTCCGTGTAAAATGACTTAATTTTCAATTGGTCTGTAAAAGTTGGCCTCAATTTTTTAGTTTTTGAATAATTGCCCCGGCACTACAAAAATTATTTTGTGGAGATGTGCATTCACGTATTTGAATGTTTCAAAGCAAAGGATTGCCTGGTGTTCAGTCACAATAGCACTAATTGAAGTTTAAGCAGTGAGTTTCTATTCATTTGAGAAAAGATAATTTTTCTTTTGAACCCTACCATTTTATTTTTATTGCTTTTTGTTTTCTTTTTTCTTTTGTTATTTCTTTTCACTGCAGGGATATTTTTCCTTTCCTGACTTGTTTCTTGAAAATAGTGGTTGCTATGCCTTTATACAATCCTGTTCACTCCACAATGTTTAGTACTACTGTGAATGGAATAAATCTCTCTGTTCTGAAATAAGTGATAATTGTGCAGATTTTATATTTGAGTGTTAAATTATCGTAAGTATTATACAAGAATTTTAGTATAAATTTAAATAAATAAATCCAATTTTATGATTTCTAAGTTCTGTATCTTGTTTTTGTGCCTAGGAACTGTGCTGTGGGGAAGCATTACAGTATTAAGATTACGGACCATGCAATGTACTGCACGAAATACGAGAGTGACTATTATGTAAGTGACACACAGTCTCGATTACCTGTTCGCTGGATGGCCTGGGAGAGTCTATTGCTGGTAAGTGTGTATCAGTGATCATCAGTTATGTTGTTCTAATTGATGACAGGTTTTTTCTACAAAATCAAGATCCCCATCCTTCATTTCCTGATGAAATTATTTTAATAATAGATTATAATCTGGGACTTAATGAATTATATGAAGAAAATATATTGCAATGGTAGAAAATTTTATTGAGTTTCAGTTACAATTGTTGCTCTTAATACTGCAGTTTTAGTTCTTCTCAATCTTACACTTTATTATTTTTTCATCATACTAAGATAAGTTTTGATTTTTAAATAAAATTTTATGAATAAGGGTTTGGTAGTAATATATCTAACGTGTGAACATTCAAAATTATGAACTAAAACTGCAAGGGGTAGGATACAAACAAAATCATTACTTTATTTATTGTCAATTCGTGTAATTCTGATTTGAATGTAATCTTGTGTATGTAATATCTGAAAGTGCTTTCAACATTAATTATTACCTATTCTAAAAGATCATTATACATTTTTGTCATATAAAAAGGACTGTTCTTTTCTAAAAAAAAACAAACTAGAGAACTTTTCATGTACTTATTGTCCTAGGAAGAAGGATTCTCAACATCCGTTATTACTGCATTTATATCATCTTTAACTGATTGTTTCCTGGTAACAAAATTTGTTATAATGTTATAAAATACATAATTCCTACTTATTAATTAGCTTGTCACAATAATTTTCAAACTCAAGAAATTTTCTGATTTTTTTTTTTCTTATAACGCTGAATTTTGATGAAGTTTGGAAAACTCGTGTCCAGTAATAATATTTCTAGATCTTTTCATTATTTTGAAGTTTTTTGACTGAATTTTATAATTTTTAATCTATTGACTAAAATTTATATTTGGTGATGTAATTTCTACTTCCTCATAATGTTTTTTTTTTATTTTACTCTGTCATGATACACAAGAAATTACAAAACCTTCAAAATGATCTGTAAAAGTTTGGTATGAATGTTTTACTATGTGTAATGATTAATATGGGAAACTGAAACTAAGATGGGATCTGTATCAGTTATCACTTAGGTTGGTTAGTACTTACAAGCACATTTTGTATGATCTCTCTCCCAATCTTTTTAGTAGAAAATACATTACCACCAATTATATCATCAGTACACATATGAAATAACACATGGCTAAGTCCACATTCATTGTTTTTTAATTATTTACATTATTGTCACACCTCTCTATTATTTTTATTTGTGGAATGAATCAAATCCTGGAGTTTGAACGTACTAAATTATCAATTATTTTGTTTTGAAACTTAGTCACAGAACAGAGAAAATGTTCAGGAAAAATTGATCTTTGGACCTGACTTATAGCAATATCATATATTAAAATATGTGTAAAAGAAAACCAGGTTTATCACTTATCTAGGAAAAGATATTGAGTAGACAAATTGAACAGAATCATCATGATTTGATTTGATTTATTTACATAAAAGAAAAGTAAAACCTCTGTGTGACATATGGGAGAGAAATACTTTAACTTGATTTATGTCAAAACACAGTATTTGTAATTGGTGAGCTTCCTCTAGCATACCAACATGCGTTCTCTTCAAATTGAAGTGAACAAATCTGTTTTGTACTCTGTTAAACCTTTATTCAATCTCCATTAAAACAATGTTTCCACTGAAACAAAAATATATAAGGAGCATTTTTTGTTGTGAATTTTTCTGTCATCAACCAAATATATTTTGGTAGAAAACTGTTTGACTTTATATGAAAACATAAAAAGGAACTTTATTATTGTTGCTTCCAAGGTTGCTAGAGTCCCCAGTGCTCAAGATTGAGTGAAAGATAGCTTTTAATATATATTTTTCAAAATGACGTGATGCAAGGTGCATGCCCATCTTGTTGGGCATGCTTCTCATTATGAGCATGAACTGTAATGTTTTGATATCATATTTATCAGCATATTATAGATGATATTAGGGGTTTAATTACATACTTTATTAACTCAAAAATCATTGTTATAAAAAAAAGAAGGAAATAGAAGTTTTAGAGATCACGATACTTTAGTGAGAAACAAATTTTAAATATCTTACAGAAACAATTGATATTTGAAAACTAAGATGGATGCCAGTGCAGTTAATAAATACTAAAATATTAATTTTGCTTATATCGATAACTAAACATTTATCGTTTTTAACTGAGGATATTATTGCATGCAAAAAACAGTATCATGTTTGATTAAGTACCATGTTTGATAAAACTGTATATGCATATGAGTAAAATTATTGAGATAGTATTTAAAATTAAATGGGAGGAAAATAAACAAGAAATGTGGTAATAATATATTGGGGCATGTTAGTTTTCAAATTAAATGCTATGTTGGGATTTGGGTTGTACTTGCTTATCTTTATTCTTGTCTCTTTCCGCATTCGCTCTCTTTCTCTTGTGTTTTTACTCTCTAACTTTTGAAAGAGTATAGATTTTACTTTACTTATGGACTTGGTACAGTAAATATTCATTTCTTTTTGGAACCATTGATCTTGGAGAGATGAGATATTACAAAAATACTATCTTAATGAAAGCTGCAAAGATCTGAAGTGTAATTTGTTTCATATTCAGTCTATGGACATATTGAATCCTCAATGCAGGCTCACATTTTGTGAGAGACAAAGTAAAATGTCTTTTGTGATAATATATTGATTATCTGTTATGGTACTAATTTGAAATCAACAGTAAACTAAGCAGCTTAGTAAATATATATTTAAAGTAATAAAATGAATTGTGAGAAATGAAAATGAAATGATAGACAAATAAGAAGAAAGTCTTTAGTTCTAAGTTTTATTTTTCAAAGTTGAAATTTTATAAAAGTTAATACTAGAGAAGTCAGTGTTAGATCGAAGAACTGTCCAGATAAAATAATGAAAACGGAACTGGTGTGCTCCTATTACTGAACCTCTTAGTTTATCTTAATATCTGTAATTTTACTTTTTGAGCTATCCAAAGAAATAGAAGTTTTATTACAATGATGTCGGTCAAGTACTCTGAGGCTATCTTGCTATTCATTATCACGTTCACAAATGCTCTCGTTCACCATCCTTTTTTTGCTCTTTCATACTTCTTTTCTTTCAATTTTCCTTTTGTTGTTCTCTCTTCTTTCCTATCTTTTCAACCTCTTTGTCCCCTCACCAGTTCTTGGCCGTTCTTGGTTCATACTCTCTCTCTTTTCTATTATTTATCCTTTTCCTTACTTTCTGCTCCCACATGTCGGTCCAGTTTCCCTTCCTCGTTCCTCTGGGGTGTAGGATCTAGGACTATCTGCCACAAGCCATGTCTGTGTTGTGGTGGCTGACGTTTCGGCCAGCATATTGTGGCCTTTGACAGAGCTTTTTAGTTCCGAATAGCGAAGCTCTGAGCAAGGCCTGAATATGTTGACCGAAACACCAGCCATGTCATAGACGCGACTCGTCCCTGAATACCTCGACCAGGGGTCTCCAAACTACGGCCCGCGGGCCACATCCAGCCCTCGGCAGTACAGTATGTGGTCCGCCTATCTAAAGTATATTCTAATACAATTTAATCTTGACGCAGGCTCTAAAATTTTAATGAAATAAGAATTAAGATATAAGAATCTGAATCTTCCTATTCGTTGGTCCACATACCAGCCATGTTGCGAGAGTCATACCATAGTAACTCTAGTGATGAACATTTGAGAAATATTTTAATAATAGGTAAAACTGAGCCACAAATTAACTTGTTAGAGTCTAAAAAACAATTTCGTTGGTTTCATTGAGGTACGTTTTAAAATTATTTATCATTTCTGTGTTTTAGAAAAGAAATATCTGTAATTAAATTTTGAAATTTTAAAATTGTAGCCTTCAATGTGTATTAATTACTACAAATATTGTGTTCAAAATTGTGTGCTCATCTGCCTATATGTGATTAAAGAATTAATTTGTGAATTGTTATCTGTTTTTTTGTTCTTTATTTAAAATTTAATTTAACAAATAGGGAATAAATTCCTTCCTATCATGAAATTTCATTTTTGCCCCCCCCCCGAGGCTCTTAAAAACTATCCGGCCCCCAGTAGAATAAAAATTGGAGACCCCTGACCTAGATCATGCAAACTCCGGCCACGGAAACCTATGCAATTGTTCCTCTAGGGTATTCAATACAAATTCCGCGCCGCCCATTGCCCTAGACTTCGATTTTTCTATTGTGATCAATGACATTGTTCCCTGCTTTATAAAATGAACCATTTTAACAGTGGTAAGCGCGTTTCTGAGACCACAAGTCCCGTTAAGGACATTTGCGAATTAATTAACGAGTCATTTTACAAGGCAGGAGATGCAATAATGACCTAATGACATCGGCCACTATAGAAAAATGGAAGTGGGCGCAAGGGTCGGGGGCCGTTTTGCGAGCGCCTTTCCGCCTGCCACAGGGCAAGTACCGCCCGAAGAGCGACGTGTGGGCGTTCGCGGTGACGCTGTGGGAGATCCTGATGCTGTGCGCGCAGCAGCCGTTCGCGGAGCTCACCAACGAGCAGGTGGTGGAGAACTGCAACCACTGGTAC